GGCCCTGCCTGCTCTGACATTAAGTGACAGTGGGACCTAAGGCAGCTTTGTATTCACTTCTCTGGGTACCAAAGGAATGACAAACTCCTACAGAAAGTCTGGAGCAGCTTTTTTAATTAGCAAGCTGAACATTGGCCAAGTGGTTGAGAAAGGGCCCCAATACCTCTTTCCCACTGAAAATTAAGTGACTTGGTGCCATCTGCACTACAACATTCCTGAGCAGCTTTTTTGCTCTCTAGAAAAAGCTGTGTGTGCTGCCTCCTAGGAGAGAGGGCTGAGTTACACTGCCAATGACCTCGTGGTACTGAATACTGCTCTACGTACTGGCAGTACAAGCAAGCCAAAAGAGCTAAGGAACTAACTGAAATGCCTGAGTTTCTTGTCTTTTGTCTGTCAGAAATGGGACAAGAGGCTTTTCCTTCTAGATCAGGCTTCAAGGCTGTCTGAAGGCCATAGGGTTGGATTTAAAGTGTGGCACGTTCATAGAATCATAGAATCATTAGGGTTGGAAAAACCATCCTCCAACTCCAACCCAGTCCACCCCCACCAAGCCCACTGCCCACATCCCTCAGGTGCCACATCTCCGTGGTTCTGGAACACCTGCAGGGACAGTGATCCCACCATTCCCTGGGCAGCTGTGCCACTGCATCACCACTCTTGCTGAGAAGAAATGTTTCTTAACATTCAACCACTTCCCCTCCTGCTGCTCCCACACAATCTCGCTCCTGGCTGCTGATGAAAGCCAGGCACAAAATCCTAAGTCCCTTGTGCTCCAAAAGCCAAAAACGTATCCGTAACAATTGGGCTCAGAGCTGGACCTGGTTTCAGCTGACCCACAGAGCATCATTACCTCCACATCCGAGCTTGAAGCACTAATTCGCAGATGCTACAGCCCCTTGATGTTACCTTAGCAACAGGAAGGGAATTTGAAGCAAGGCTGCAATAGCAAAGCCTAAGGGAGCATGGGGTGGGTGTTCACACCTCAGTAGTAGTGTCAGAGTTCACAGAATGCCACATGAGCCAGAGGGGGGAACTGAACTCAGTGGCACAAAGCAGCAAAGACTGCACTAAACCAGAGCACTTCCCTTTTGACTCAGCATCACTTCCAGGCTATTATTCTCTAGAAAAACAGATGAACTTCAAGTTTTGCTTTTGCATGCTTTTCACTATATTGCTGGTGTTGTTTCTTCTCCGAGGTATGGATCAGATTTGCTTTCTCAACTGAAGTCACCAATCTTTCCATCTCTCCCAATCCTTTCAATAATGCTCATCGTGCTAATCCTCCTGCATCAGTGCTACCCTGTGCTGTTCTACCTGAGCCAGACTACTGAAACCACAGCCAGCTTCCTCTGCATCTTCCTCTTCTCTTGCCTGATGTTTATTTTTCACAAGAAAACCACTCAGGGGAATCACCTTTTTTGCTTAACTCTGGTGGTGCTTTCTCCAGAGTACCTGTATTTAACCAGTTGGAAGGCAAACAAGCATCAGTCTGACTTGCGTCCCCCAGAATGCCCAGCCACGTGCCCACGCCTCACATTTTGAAGCAGTATTTCAGCTAGACCAGAAGCATTTCAGAGCTGACATTATGACTGGAGGTTGGTACACAAATGCTAAGAGACAACCTCGGCTTCACTGAACTCAGCTACGACAGGTTCAGAAACTCAGGGTGCAAAAGGCAGAGCACTGTTAACACTTCCCCAGGAAGATACTGCTTTCTAACCTGTGCTGTCACTTGGTTCGGAGAGTAAAAACATCCAAGTTGCAAATCCTCATCCAAATTTCCAAACTTTTGGGCCAACCACTGCTACCTCAGAGGATGGAGTAACTCAATAGACTTTGCCCTCCTCTCCTCATCTGACACTGAAGAAAATCCCTGCAGCTTTCCCTGTGAATTTACTTCCCATTACCCCACTTTTGAGCTCCAGTTCTCACTGGAAGGTCCCTTCCCTCCCCTGTCCAAACAAGCCTGCCTGTTACATACACAGCGTGACTGCACTGCATTTGAAAAAGTCATACATGCAGCAAGTGAAACACGCAGCCAAAATATCACCGTGCTTATGGGAAACAAGAGGGTTGTATTTCATTTTGCAATTCACTCAGCTTAATCCCCAAGCCTCCAGCTGCCTGGAAAGCCACTTTCTTTGCTCAAGCACTTTTTGCTAGTAACGATTCACAAATTCAAAACGCCAACGTGCTGTAACAAAGCAAATCCCAGCTGCACTTTCACTGTAAAAGACACGGTCCAGCAGTCTCTGCTCCCTACCTGCTCACAAAGTTTCTCTTTCACAGCCTCTTCGTCATCAGATATTGGTTATTACTTAACTGATAGCAGAGTATGTGAAAGTTTCTCTTACAGGCACAGATCGCGTAGCACTAACGCCAGTGCTCCTCTGACATTTGTTGCTATGGATAGAGCTATGGAGAGAGAGAATTTTTGAGATAGAGGGCAAGAAAGGATCATAATCAAAGCAAAACTTCTATTCAGACTGAGATAAAGTGGTCTAAATCCATTCAGCAGTAATTCTCCTTTTCCGCAGATCCTTCCTGCCCACAAGCAAATCCATGCCCAATTGGACTTGCCTGACCAAGAAGCAAAAGACCTCGAGTTCATTCTGCCTGATTTGAACCCATTATTCCCTAAATTTCCCAGTGACTCACTCCAGTCATGCAAGGTACATTACACATACAGGGTTTGGGATTTCCCAGTTCCCTGCTCTGGGAGTACTGATTCCATTCAAATCCTGTTCACATACACTGAGCTACCCTGCTTCCAGCACTTCATTGACAGTATCAAGGACAAAAAAAAAAAAAACAAAAAAAACCCAAACCATTAGTGAACAGATAAAGAAAACTTCTTTTAGAGCCCAAATCTTTCTGATTTGAATTCTAAGCATGGTCTCAGGGCACTGAGGCTGTTTTTGTTTTCCTTGGTACTGGTGCTCAAAAACACACCAGTAACACCCACTGCTCTAAATGAGGGTCTAAGAACATATCTTGGTCATTATCAGGAAACTGCAAAGATGAACAGGATGCAATCTTCAGAAATCAGGTGGTTTCTGATGAGGGGAAGTTGGTGACACACAATTATGGTAAATGAAAGCAAAACAAAATAACAGCATCCATGAAACAGGTCCTAAAACCTATTATCCTAGTTTATAACGAAGCTCTTCAAGAAGGCAGACTGACCAAGTGCTTTCTAAACCTACATACACACATTTGTAGAGAACCTCTTAGTATCTACACCTAATCACATCTTCCTGGCAGGGGAATTTGATTTTAGTTTCAGAGCTTTGTACCACTCAAGAGCTAAGTGAATTCTCACTTGTTCTGCTCAAGGTTATAGGCCAGAACTTTTAGTGAGGAGATAATCCAATTATTGAGGCTATTAAGGCCTTAGCCTGCAACATAAGAGACCCCAGGTTTAATTCCCTGCTCTTCCATAGAAGAGCATGCCATGTAATTGCTTATTATCATTTCTGCCACCACAGCAGTTTAGTGCTCTGATTTTCCTTACTTCTAATATCATGGGTTAGAAAGCACTGCCACAGCTGTAAATCAGGCAGCTCACATTCACTTTCTTTTGAGATAAACAACTCAACAGTGATTAGAAGGTGCTCACACGGTAATGACCATGCTGTATCTACAAAAAATAATATTACATCAGAAGACTACAATAAACAATTCTCCTTAAAGATTCTGGCTACTAGATTAGAGCCCTGACAAAATCAAACTCTCCTCTAAATGGTTCTTTAAATATTTAATTTCTCCATTTCTTTGAGTCAGCACTCCACACATGACTATAAAATGCTATCTTATCCAATTATTTCTTTGACCTTCTATTACCATTTAGTAAGACCAAGCCTTGAGTACATCTGTCTTCACAGTGCTTTGCAAGAAAAGGACATACTCTGATCCTTCTCTGCAAGAAGTGTGCTTAGAAATATGATGAGATGTGATCATGGGCAACAAGAAGTCAGTAGCAGAATAGCCAAGTTAGGTTTCCTGATTCCTAGGTTAATACCTTTGTCACTGATCCATGACAAAGTCAGGGATCTCCAGTACACTAGGCACTGTTTGTACACGTACAGTCTGAAATCTAAAAAAGCTCCCTTCTCACATCACAGGCAAATATGTGAGACACAGGATAAGAGAGGTCCTGGGAAAATTCAGGAATACATGCTAGAACAAGAACTAAGTGTAGTCAGCAGCAGCTCTCCTCAAACTGTTTGCTGTACAGCCCTCCCATCCTTTTTTCCCCCAGGCACACAAAAATCAGAACCTTATGTACACAGATAGACACTGGTCCCCAGGGGAAAGCTGACAGTACCAACACTCAGAACAACGGATTATCAGGAAGTCTTCACTTCACTGACGCTTGAGTCACATGGAAATCACAAAATCAGTGAATGGCTTGGGCTGGAATTGACTTTCAGGACCATCTAGTTGTAGTCTCCCACCATGGACACAGACACCTTTCACCAGACCAGGCTGCTCAAAGCCCCCATCCAACCCGGCCCTGAGCACTTTGAGAGATGGGGCACACAGCTTCGTTGGGCAGATTGTGCCAAGGCCTCACCACCCTCACAGTGAAGAATTTCTTTCTTATATCTAATCTAAACCTACTTTTTTAATTTAAAACTGCTACTCCTTGTCCTGTCATACAGTATCACTGCTAGTAATACTGTATATACCTGCTACTTCTGTTCTGGAAAATGACCATGTGTTCTAAATCATTAAGCCAGCAAGAGAATGCCCAGACAGGCAGACAAGTACACACTTTGCTTGCCAAGTTGGCTGCTGGACCCTATAAAGGACATAACTCTGAAAGCATACTGAAGTGTGGCAGGATATTCTTTTTTAGTTTATCTTTCAGCCCAAGATAAAAAAAGGGCCAGGGTCAGGGAAACCGCAATTTCTGAGTGCCCACCAGCCCTGTTTCCTTTTGCTAGGTTTAGGCTGAAGAAAGCCAGGAAAGAATGAAGACAGCAGAGGGAACTCACCGCTTTGAGGATTGCCACTGCGTCCTGCTGGAGCCATGATGGGTAGACAACTTCATCGTTCAGAATGGCCTCAAAGAGGTCGTCCTCATTCTCTGCCTCGAAGGGCGCGTGGCCACACAGCATCTCGTACAGCAGCACGCCCATGGCCCACCAGTCAACATCAGGGCCGTACAGCATCTCTTGTAGAATCTGGAAAAGGGATGAGAATGACATGTCACCCCTAGAGGTTCCTAAACTGAGCCAGAAAGGAAAAGAGATTTGGAAACACCATTGCAGAAGTTCTTGCTGTGCCCTAACAGTTCTCTCTGCTATGCTGGCTGGATGTCTACATGACTTATAGCTGGGAACCCCTTGATCCGCATTAAGGTACATCAGATCTATTAAACAATTGAATTAGCTTGGATGCTCACTGGGTCAACAACACCTTAGAAATGATGCTAGAGTTTATCAGGAGGAAAAAAGACATTTCAGCTAAACTATCTGAGCCTCAGAAGTGGCAGAGCAGTCATGTGCATGAGCTGATACCGCCTTTTCCTTGCCCCTGGGAATGAAATGCTAACAGCAACACTTTCAGCCGGAGTGGGGAAGCAGCATGAGTGTGTAAGAAATGCACAAACACCAACCACAAACAAAAATTCATTTGTTTTGAAAAGAGGATCTGAAACTACCTGTCAAAACATCTGTCAGCTTCTGGAGGGCAGCTGCTCCTTAAAGAGGTATTTATTAATTTTGTAATGAGGTTGGTGAATGACAGGGAAGGGAATAAGGTAGAAAAAGGAAGAGAAAAATGAGGGAGAATGTGATGTCCTTTCAAATCAAGCTGGGCCAGGATCTGTATGTGCCTCTTCCTCAAGTGTTTTTGCAGTTGTAGCTCCACTTTTTACCTCACCTTTGCTTAAGAAAAAGCTATGCTTACCTTGGTGCCTCATGTTTTGTTTGCACCAGGGACCAGTAACAGAAGCGTGCATCTAGTAGGAAACCTTGCACCCAGCAGCCAAATAAGGTCTAACTAAAGACACCAGAGAGCAAGCTGGGTGCTCATAACTGACATTTCATGGCCAAATAAAGATTCTTCATACCTCTGGAGCAATATAGTCTGGTGTACCGCAGAAGGTAGCCGTGGTAATGCCATCGTGAATGCCCTCCTTGCACATTCCGAAATCTGCCAGCTTGCAGTGTCCCTCATGGTCCAGCAGCACATTGTCCAGCTTCAAGTCCCTGCAATGAGACAAGTTGCTACGTGCTTGGAGCAGCCCCAGCACAATCGGAGGCAGCGTCCCAAGCCCCAAAAGCTTAACTTGTAAACTGGACAAACCTCATTGTCATTAAAAATAAAACAGAAGTAAAATAAACAAAAGTCACGCAGGAGGGGTTTTCTTTTGATTCATCTCTTACAAAAGGGAGGGAGGAACAAACACTTTTCTGCCAAACTGCATTTAACATGGGTAGGTGCTACACGAGTTCGCCCACATGGCTTTCCAAACACACCACAGGCCTGACCGGCAGAGCTCCTGCTCGCTCAGATCTGAGGATCACTGGAGCAGAGGTTGCCAGAGCTGTCAAATTGTGTAATGGTGCTCTGATGCAGCAAAACGCCGCACAGGTGACACACTGTGATTTGGCAAAGCACCACGCTGGGGGGAACACATCCTCTCAGCTCCTGAGGGTTTAGCTCCCAAACTTCCTTGTATGGAGACAAATTTGACTGATAAACCCCACCCGCAAATTCTTGAAGTCTTTAAAGCCTTCCCAGCTGCACCCCTTCCAGTAGCTAATGCAATAACCTATTTCCCTCTGCAGTGCTCGTTGGGGCGGGGCCTTCCTTGTTTCATATCTGTTCCCTGCCATGAGAGTCCTGGAGCCAAATGCCATCAGTGAGCAAGCTGCAGAAAGGCACATTTTCCAATACATCACCTGTAACTGGAAGCACCTCATCAAAAATAGGGCTGCAAAAACGACAAAGTCTTCAAGAAGCTTATCAGGGAGAATGCCTTAGGGAATAGCCTGCAGTCATAAGTACCGTCAAGAACAAGACCAGAAAGTACAGGGTCATCTGCAGACTTAGGCAATGCCTTCCTAAAAATACATACTAGCTCTTGGCACCTCTGCTTCTCAGCTGTCAGACAGGCTCCACGCACCATCACAGATGGAGAAAAGCAGCTATGATGGGAGTGCAAATAGGTCACTTTTTTTTTCTTCACAGTTTGGAGAAAATCTACATGAATGAGTGTCCAAAAACATCTTGGTAGTTGAGCATACTAAAATAAAAGTTTATGCTGCTTCTCGCACAAGATGCATTTAAACATCTCCAATACAGAATGAATTTCCAGGTCACAGCTCTCTCACAGTAACTATCTCAGCTGAGGCTAACCTTGGCCAAGAGTTCTGCACAGACCTCACAGAAGCTCTGATGCAGGGATGTTACCATCAACGTTCTACTGAGATGGATGACAGGCTTATGGGCCTAGACAAAGCCCATTTCAAAGTCATTTGTGTGCCCAGATAGAAACAAAAGAATCTAATTATTTGAGGGTCTCAGGACCCCTTTATGAAATCTACACTGGAAATCTAATATATTTTGACCTCTGATTAGACATCTATTTTCCTGGAAAGGAAAAGCAGTGAGGAGAATGGAACAGAGGTGGCATCTCCATACCAATGTGAAGACCTGTGGAAGAGCTGAAATCTGAATCCAGCTCATCTTCCCACTCATCTTCTATGATCTCGAAGTGAAAATCAGGTTGTTGACTGATGCTTTGCATTTGCGTTCTACAGCCCACACCACCACCAGAAGCCTCTCTAGAGTTTGAGACAAGCTCTCTCACCTCTTCACTGTTAAAATGGAAACATCAGTGACATATTGTGCTACACAGAGCCACATCCTGCCCAAAAGAGATACTAAAAATTATTATTAGCTTCTTTTGAATGGTTGGGTAAGCAAGGGGTGGAGGTTACGGATTTGCCCATGTTTGCTAGAGCCAAGACCGAACACTGACTTCCTGAATATCAGTTCAAGATCTTAATCACACAATCACACATCCTCTCTCTCCAACTTTAACAAGACAGAGCAACAGAAGCCAGTAAAAACCCCTCTGTCAGGATGCTGCCCTTCCCAAAAGGCCACTGGCTATCTGGTGGCCTATCTGGTGAAATCTGGAGGTCAAGGACAGTGCCCATGCTTGTCTTACACTGCAGTATTTGCTCTGGGTGGGATGCTCAGCAGAAGATACTTATTTTTCTCCTTCTCAGAATTAAGCATAACCGTTAAGCCGTGTGGGCAAAGGATTAGCTGAGCACAATGAGTAGTATTGTACGTGCTCGTCCAGGACAGTATGTCTTCAACAGCAGTTTACAGTCAAAGCTGCTGTTGCTCTTCCCTGTGGTTACTGGCAGAGCAGGGAAGCCCTCCAAGCATAAGGGCAGGCCTTGTTTCCAGGAATCTGCAGTGATGTGGTTGAAATGCACAGTTTATTCTTGGCTTGGTGTTAAATGCAGCAAATGCCTTTTCAGTCCTGAGCAGGCCTGACTTTTTAGGGAGGGCACACCTAACCATGTGACCAGAAGGAGAATTTTGGTGATCCTGCTTGGGGATCCCCATTCCAGACCTCCTCCCACTCCCCAGAACATCCGCCATGTCCTGAAGTGCTTAGGAAACATCTCAAAATACACCTTCCTTATACCTGAGCCAGAAGAAACGCAGCTACGTACGTGGACTAAATGAGGCCACAGTTGTAGAGTCACAGAATCACTACAGTTGGAAAAGTCTGCCAAGATCTCCAAGTCCAACCCCAGCCCACCCCCACCATGCCCACTGTCCACATCACCCAGTGCCACATCTCTGTGGTTCTGGAACACCTCCAGGAATGGTGACCCCACCACTCCCTGTGCAGCTGTGCCACTGCATCACCACTCCTCCTGGGAAGAAATGTTTCCTAATATCCAACCTGAACCTCCCCTGGCACAATCTAAGGCCGTTCCCTCAGTCCCTCACGCAGAGCCTGAGGAGCAGAGGCAAGAACCTGGCAAAGGCAGGGCCTGCATTCCCTGCTGGCTGCACAACGCAGTGCCCTCATCGCAGCACTGAGACGGCAGGAGGTGCTGCAGGTGCAAGGCCTCTCTCCTGCCTGACTGTCTCTCATGACCAAACAGACTTCCCAATGCTCCTTGCTGGCCAAGCCCCCAGAAGGCCCCACACAGAAGGCCTTATGGAGCAGGTCTCGTAGGCTGGCCCTACAGCTAGGCCTGGCCATGCAGCTCTAGAGCAGATCCCTCCTGCTACGTCAAGCCCATTGAGCTGGGCCTTGGTTTCATTGACTGCAGCAGCCATAAGCTCTGTACTGGCTGCACTATGCTGACAGCTCTCCCATGCATCCCAACCACGTGAACCAGTGTGGCCATGTGAGAGGAAAAACACAGACAGGTTTCTAAGATTTACAAGGAGCTCTTCATTTCAGCAGCAAGGATTCCGGGAAGCTGATGAAACTGGAAGCCATCCAGCTCACAGGGCCCAAATCTACCTCATTTCCTTAATACTTGCATTTTCCATTCAATATTTTTAGCAGTTCCATGAAGCAAGAATGGCAGAAAGGTTCTCTGAGGACTGCGTTTCTAAGGTCCTGCTGGGGCTCTGCCTTAAGCCTTTCACTGGCAACCTTCCCCTGGAAAACAAATTTCATCCCGACTCAGAAAGGCAGCCTTTGTCCTCACACGCAGTTATGGCACACTGGGTTAACAGCATCATTTTATTCTAGACCCAGAAGAAATGACAAAATGAGCTGCCTAAGTGTCCTTCACCAAGAGAGGTGTTCTTTACACATCAGCCACTTCAGTCTGCCATTTGTAAAAAATACTATTACAATTACAGATGATCCAGGCCTTTCTGAGACATGTCAAATACAATTTCCCAGCACCGTCGAGTTTTGCCAATGAAGAGGTGTTTGTTATACAAGTACCTGCCTCTCACTCTGCTCAGATTGCCTCACTCATGACTTAGAAATATATTTTGAAGGATGAAGCTTTGTGTTTTTTTCCTCCATCTGGCTTCAGCACTCTGTGTTGCAAGGGCTGTGCATGCAATAAGGAACTCTGCAGGAGCAGCTGGCTTCCCATTTCAATTGCCTCATGGTGAGGTCCTCCTAGGTTTGGAAATCCCAAAGGCACAGTTTAAAGCTCATAAAAGTCTAGAGATCCCATCTCAAGGCAAATGATTTAGTCACAAAAGATGTGGATACAATACAGCAACAGCTAGACAAAAAGGGAGCTGCAAGGAGAATTATACTCCAGTCAAATGAGAAAAAATATACATTTATATCTCGTATATACCACAAAATACCCAAACCCAGAATTACCCACACAATTTATTTTTTTGGCATTCCTGAATGGGAACGTTTTGGTTTTTTCAGTCTTCAGCATGCAAAGTAATTTAGATATTCCTTTGGAGTGAGCAAATGTGCACTTAACCTCCTTTGCATGCAGGGACTAGACTTTGATTTTTCTCCACCTCTTCTGTTGAAATCATTTTACCTTGCAGAAATACGAAAATCTCCATTACGATGAAGAAAAAATGTGTTTCTATTGCTTGCTTTCCTAGCCAGAGCAATACATCTTTCCATCTCCTGCTGCTCCAGTGAAACTGTAATTCCTTTTTCCAGAATGAAACAACTTCAGTGGAGGAGAATGAAACAGACATAGTGGGCAGAGCAGTGCAGGTGTTAAGGTACTTACCCTAAGGGGAAGGATTTTCAAGCTGGAGGACCTACTCCAAATATGTACTGGGACAACACATTTACACTAATACTTTGACTAAATAAGGAGGGGAGCAGGAGGAAGCCTCTTATTGAGAAAAGCCCTAAATACCTCTGTGAACAACATTCACAGCTTTCCTTTGCATAACACCAAAATTGAAATATCCTATGGAACTTGAAACCAGCATTCTCTCGAGCTGCAAAAATAAGTCGTTTTTAAGACATCCTAACAATCATTTTGGGGCCAACTGAAACTTCCTTTCCTTCCTTCTTTCCACGCTAAGTTTTGGGGGCTCACCAGCCAAACTCAAAGAATATAATTGATTTCACAATGCCATCTCCCACTGGTTTTGGAATAGGGACATCCAGGTTTTGTTCCAAAGAATTGAAGAATTCTTAATTCTTAAAGAATTAAGCCTGGGAAAAGAATTAAGGAATTCAAGCAACTAGTTTCCAATCCCACAAGTCTTAGGT